CGGGGAGCGGGGACCCGGGGAGAGCCGGGGGCAGGAGGGGCCGAGCAGGGGGCTGCCGTGCGCGGGGGGCCGCTGGCGGGGCTTAGTCCTCCTGGGTGAGCTGCGCGGAGCCGGCCCGGCCGCCGGGGGCAGCGGGGGCTTGGCCGCGGGCAGGGGGTGTCGCTGTGGCTGCCCCCTCCTGCGGGCGGGGGGTCGGAGGGGAGCCCTGCCGGGGAAGCCGCGGCGGGGCAGTGGGTCTCCCCGAGCTGGCTCGGGGCCCCCGCTGAGGGACACGAAGAGGACTCCGCGCCCGGCAGCTGCCCAGGGGGAGCGGGCCGGCGGCTCCCCCTGCTTGTGGATTATAAACGCCCAGGCGCTGCCCCTGAAGCCGCCGGGCCTGACACGGGAGGGCGCTGGGCAGCCCCGCACCCAGTGCCCCGGCGGCTGGGCAGCAGCGCCGAGCCACGGCCGCAGGACTAGCGGGAAAGGCTGCACCAAGCCGCCGAGGCACCAAGGCGGGGAGCCGGCCGAGCAGCCAGGGAGCGGTGCGGGTCCGGAGCGCCCAGGCATCTTCGCCTCCCTCGGGACCGACTGCAGCGGGGCCCGGAGCCCCGGAGAGGAGGCGAGCGGACAGCAGTGGGGCCGGGACAATGGGGCTGGCTCCCTGGACAATGCGGGCGGCCAGAGGGACGGAGACTGCTGCGGCTGTGCGAGCCGGAGCCACCTGCGCGCTGTCACAGGGGCCCCGAGCTCCCCCGGGAGCTGGCTGAGCGCGGCGGGCGCAGGGCACTCCCTGCATGGCGAGAGGCTGTGCGTAATGCAAGTGTCCAGGCACCAGCCCAGTCCCGGAGCGTCTAACTGCACGGATCCTTGGCAGCTGGAAATCTGGGGGTCCCTGGCCCCGGGGGCGAAGCCCCGGCACCCGGAGAGGTACCCGCCGGCCTCGGAGAGCCGCTCCTGGTTTGCAAAGATGCAGCTGAGGCCGCCACCCCGCCGCCGCGGCCGCTCGCACCTCAGTGAGTGGCTGACCCTAGTGACCTGCCTTCAGCTGTGTGCAGGGAGACAGCCGCACGGGGGCACGTCCTGCCGGCGCGCAGGTGAGTGCTGGGGGGCCAGCCCGGACCATACTGTGCGCTTGGAGAAAGCTACGAAAGGGCAGGCGCAGGCCGGTGAGTTGGGAGAGGCCGTTTCAGCACCACCTGCGCCCGGGACAGCTCCCAGAGCGGAGCTAGGACTCGATCCAGCCCGCGCTCCGCCCACGCCGCACAGAAAGCAGGATCCCTGTCTGTTTTTTCACCTGTTTGATTCCACCAAAGGCTGTTTACAAACTCTCTGCTTTGCCGTGGACTTTGGGAGCCCGTCAGCCCTGGAGCTCTTTGCTCACCTGCCAGTAAAGCCTAGTCCAGCTATACAGCTTGATCTATCACATTATCCGCCTGTCAAGCGAAGGAGGAGGAGAGAGAGTGCATTCCCACCATTAGTAAGGACTGGCAGGGCAGCCAACCGCCACCCCCACTTCCCTCAGTACAATTACCAGGTTCAGGTGGCTGAAAACCAGCCTCCAGGGACTCCTGTGATAACTATGGCAGCACAAGACCCCGATTCAGGGGAGGCTGGGAAGCTAGTCTACTCCATGGATGCCCTAATGAATAGCAGGTCCATGGAGCTGTTTAGCATTGACCCCAAGAATGGTCTCATCACCACCACCAAAGCTTTGGATAGAGAGACTATGGACCTGCACTATTTCCGGGTTACTGCTGTGGATCATGGGGTCCCCCGCCTTTCTGCCACCACCATGATTGCTGTAACTGTTGCTGACCGAAATGATCATGACCCTGTTTTTGAGCAGAGTGAGTACAGAGAGACTATTAGGGAAAATGTAGAAGAAGGCTACCCTATCTTACAGCTGAGGGCCACGGATGTGGACTCCCCACCCAATGCAAACATCAGGTATCGATTTGTGAATGAACAAGCAGCCCACTCTGTCTTCGAGATAGATCCCAGGTCAGGTCTGATCACCACCAGTGGGCAAGTGGACAGAGAGAAAATGGAGAAATATTCTTTGGTGGTGGAGGCAAACGACCAGGGTAAGGAGCCTGGCCCCAGATCTGCCACGGTTAAAGTCTATATCACAGTTCTGGATGAGAATGACAATGCCCCTCAGTTCAGTGAAAAACGCTACATTGTCCAGGTGAGAGAGGATATAAGACCCCATATGGAAATCTTGCGCGTTACTGCCACTGACATGGACAAAGACAATAATGCTTTAGTCCATTATAACATCATCAGTGGGAACAGCAGGGGCCAGTTCTCCATTGACAGTGTGACTGGGGAAATACAGGTGGTGGCACCTTTGGATTTTGAAGTTGAACGTGAATATGCCCTGAGGATACGTGCTCAGGACGCAGGGCGCCCTCCTTTGTCTAACAACACTGGCATGGCCAGCATCCAAGTAGTGGACATTAATGATCATGCCCCAATCTTTGTCAGTACCCCTTTTCAAATCTCCGTCCTGGAAAATGCCCCCCTTGGCCATTCAGTGATCCACATCCAGGCGGTGGATGCAGATTATGGGGAGAATTCTCGTCTGGAATATAAACTAACTGGGGTCTCAGCTGACACCCCTTTTGTGGTGAACAGTGCCACTGGGTGGATCACAGTGAGTGGCCCCTTGGACCGTGAGTCAGTGGAGCACTATTTCTTTGGGGTGGAGGCTCGGGACCATGGCTCTCCATCCTTATCTGCCTCCGCTAGTGTCACTATCACTGTCATGGATGTGAATGACAATCGACCTGAATTCACCCAAAAGGAGTATTTCATCCGGCTAAATGAGGATGCTGTTGTGGGGACCAGTGTTCTCAGTGTCACGGCAATCGACAGGGATGTGAACAGTGCCATAAGCTACCAGATAACAGGGGGGAACACCCGTAACCGCTTCTCTATCAGCACTCAGGGAGGCGTGGGGCTGATCACTCTCTCGCTACCCTTGGACTACAAGCAAGAGAGGCGCTATGTGCTAACAGTGACTGCCTCTGACCGGACCCTGCATGACAACTGTCACATTCATATCAACATCACTGATGCCAACACCCATAGGCCTGTGTTCCAAAGTGCCCACTATTCAGTGAGTGTCAATGAGGACCGTCCTGTGGGCAGCACTGTGGTGGTAATTGGTGCCACTGATGATGATGTGGGGGAAAATGCCAGGATCACTTATTACCTAGAGGACAATATTCCTCAGTTTCGTATTGATGCGGACTCTGGTGCCATCACATTGCAGGCGGAGCTGGACTATGAAGACCAGGTCACCTACACCTTGGCCATCACTGCCAAAGATAATGGGATCCCTCAGAAAGCGGACACCACCTATGTAGAAATCATGGTGAATGATGTAAATGACAATGCCCCTCAGTTTGTCAGCGCTCACTATCAAGGCATTATATCGGAGGATGCCCCTTCATTCACCAGCGTGCTCCAGATCTCTGCCACTGATCGCGATGCCCACACCAATGGGCGGGTACAATACACCTTCCAGAATGGGGAGGATGGGGATGGGGATTTTACCATAGAGCCCACCTCTGGGATTATCCGTACTGTCCGCAGGCTGGACCGAGAGAATGTCCCAGTCTATGAGCTGACTGCCTATGCTGTGGACAGGGGGGTCCCCGCGCAAAGAACCCCTGTCAACATTCAAGTCACTGTTCAAGATGTGAATGACAATGCCCCTGTTTTCCCAGCTGAAGAGTTTGAGGTTTTGGTGAAGGAGAACAGCATTGTGGGCTCTGTGGTGGCCCAGATCACAGCCATTGACCCAGATGAGGGACCTAATGCCCAGGTCATGTATCAGATTGTGGAAGGCAACATCCCGGAGATCTTCCAGATGGACATATTTTCTGGGGAGCTCACTGCCTTGATTGACCTGGATTATGAGACAAAGCCCGAGTATGTAATTGTGGTCCAGGCCACGTCTGCCCCCCTGGTCAGCAGAGCCACAGTCCACATCAAGCTCATTGACCAGAATGACAACAGCCCCGTCCTCAAGAACTTCCAGATCCTCTTCAACAACTACATTTCCAACAGGTCCAACACCTTCCCTTCCGGGGTCATAGGGAAGATCCCGGCTTATGACCCAGATGTGTCCGACAAGCTCTTCTACACTTTTGAACGGGGCAATGAGCTGCACTTGTTGATTGTAAATCAGTCAAGTGGTGAGCTGAGGCTGAGCCGTAAGCTGGACAACAATCGTCCCCTGGTGGCCTCCATGCTGGTGACAGTCACAGGTAAGATATTTAAACTCTTTGGATGACTGTGATAGTGTAACATTTCCTAGAGACGTTCAGGTGGTTCCAGGCTGGAGACTCCAACATGTATCTTGTGGTGCTGAGTTTTCAGCATTTGGGCCATTATTTTACTTAAAATCTGAAAAAATAAAATAAAATGGGCGCTTATGATAATATCCATACAACTGGAACGTCTTGTAAAGTGTTTGAAATGTAAGGATGACAATGTTGTATAACAGCAAAGTGTTGTTATTTAGCTAGAGGATCGGTTAGTCGTAGCTTTAAGCATGAGGTGCTTTCTCTAGTAAATGCAAGGATCTGGGATGCACTGCATAGGACACTGGCTTGGGAAGCATGCTGCTTTTCCTGGTGGCTGAACAGATTGCTCCTGCTGGTTCCTAGAGGCTGCTGACCCAGGGGCTGAATCTCTGCTTTGCTTGGAGCCCCTTCTAGCTCAGGAAGTGAGCCATTCCCATCCTTTGGGGCCTGCGCATGCTCTTGCCACTGTGCTCTCAGCCTTTGCTGATTCAGGGAGTGGGGGATCAAGCTTGGGGCTTGAACTCAGCCCCTTAAAAAAATCTTATTCAAATGTTTGCTGTTACCATTCCCCTTTCTGTTCTCCCGGCCCTTCCAAAAATAGTTCATGCTTTAAAATTCTGGTTTTGGAATATTAATACTACAAATATTTAGGGCTCCATTTTCAAAAGCAGCTTTTTGGAGTCCAGGTTATTGCATGCACAGAAATTGGATGTAAAAGATCACGCACACAGTTTGAGAAGAGAGGTTTAAAATGTATCCCCCTAAACTGCCAGTGTAAGTCCTTGTGTGCCATGCATCCCCTGTATTAAAGTGTGTATCCATACTAACCTCCTCTGTGACATAGAGAGTTACTATTATCCCCACTTTACAGATGTGGATCAGAGGCACAGATAGATTAAGTGACTTGCCTGAGGTCACACAGGAAACATGGCAGAGCCAAATTTGAATGTAGATCTTGTGAGTCCCAGTCCCTTGCCTTTACCACAAGACCATCCTTCCTGCCTTGTATAGGGTGTTTCTTGAAATACCAAATAACCTATGTGTGACTTGTAGAAGGAGGTGGGGGAGGTGTCCATTTGGAGGGTATCAGTGACACAGGCTAAGTTATTTAGCTGTGTCTAGGGAGGCATACATTATTCATGACTTTCCACAGATCCTCAGCTTCCATCTAACCCTTCCTCCCCCTTCCCCCACCCTACCAACTCGTTTAGTGAGTGAGCTCGGAAAATAAGGCCCTTGTTTCTTTCAAAAGATGCAGTATGGGCTTTAAATGTTGATATGTTCAGTCCAGCCCAGCATACTCAGCTACAGCACCTCACTAGATTGAGGTTCTTTAGGGGTTAATTGTAACTGCAGGGCAGGGTAATATCATATTCAGACACACACATGCACAGGCTGATTACTAGAGATGGGGGGAGCCGGGCTGACCTTTCTTGCTTCTGCCAGAGTAGGTTTATGCAGGCTCTGCCTCCTAATACACTTAACCCTGTACAAAGACAGGAGGAAATCACATTTCAAGGCCTTGCACTAAACTACCTTAGAACAACAAGGCTCTTGAAATTACCATGTCATCATTTTCCAGTGGAAGTGAGGCTAGAAAAAGCTAAGCTCACCGTGGCGAGAAGGATAAGAAAGGAAGCCCAGTCTTGCAGGAGGGGAGCAGAATGGAAAACGTGCCTTTTGTTGGCTTCAGTGGGCACTAGGGGTGTTTAGGTTTAGACCCTGCTTTGTAAGAATGTCACCTTCCTGTAGCCCTGGCATTTTTTATTATTCTGTTATTTACTGAGCACCATCCATGCACTTTATAAACATATAGTGATGGAAGGCCCAAAGATCACAGTCAGAATCAACACAAAATTACAGTGACATCTAAAGAAAGGGCTAGGGGCATTTTGCAGATTAAAATGAACTGAAATTAAAATTTGATTACACTGTTCATTTATATACAGTGCAGTCCTAAAGCCACTGCACCAAAATGAACTTCCTTCTGTAATATGAGTACATTCATTTCCGAAGATTCACAGCAATAAAAGCACGTTGGTAAGATACCCAGAGCTATTATCATATAACAGACCAAGAACATTCCCAGTGTGGGAGAAGCTTTCATTGCTCTGTGTGGGTTTTTGGTCTCTTTGGTAAAATGCTAGAGGGCTACAGACTGGAAGGAAGGTTAGAATATAGCACTACATTGAAGAATAGATTACCACTCAACTGAATATATTAATATACAAAACAGAATATACCACTAAATTGAAGGCTAAGTGCCTATTCAGTCTCCATCTCTGTTTGGCTGCCAGCTGTATTTTTTATCTACTAGGACCCTGTCATTGGTAGGGTTAATATGGTGTGAGGAGGAAGGGAAGACTTTGATAGTACTAAAACAATATTATTGCACAGGGGCTGAAATAACAAAACCACTGATAGGCAGCAAAAACAATAGAATTCTTTGGCTCAGAGGAATAAAGTGTTTGAGTTGGAGTGGCAGGTCTCAAAGGAAAATGTACAGGAGTTTCCTGAAGGCGGGTGGGTGTTTCCACCTGGATTCTAGGGTGACCAGATGTCCCGATTTTATAGGGACAGTCCCGATTTTGGGGTCTTTTTCTTATATAGGCTCCTATTACCCCCCACCCCATGTCCCGATTTTTCACACTTGCTATCTGGTCACCCTACTGGATCCCCCTATAATCCCTCTGAAAGACCCCAGGTCAGACCTACACTCTGTCCAAAGAAGGCTGGATGCAGCTCCCTATGGAGCCAATCATCATTAGCGTCCTCTATGCATAAAACCCACCCTGGGGTTATTGCATCATCATTTTAAGCATCTGCTGCTGTTGAGCCAGGATACTGGATTAGATGAGCCATTGGTCTGACCTGGTATGGCAAGTCCTATGGCAGGCATCATGCACGAGCCTTTTCCTAGGAAGTGACAAGTTCAAAGCCACCATGCACAATAGCTAACTATTCCATGGCAGCTAGCATTTTGCATGAGACTTTGTCTCATCAGTGCTTGAAATCTTTTACAGTGGGTATCAATGCACAAAACCTTCCACATCCTGGCAGGTGGTGAGAGTGCATGCCCAACTCGAATCAAAATGGGTTGTACTTCGGAGTCCTACTGCAGCAGTTGCTGCCCCTCCCGGACAGCTCTGGTGACTAGTCTTTACCAAGTAGCCAGGAGCCTGAGAACTTGCAGCTGTCATCCGTGCCTTTGTTACTCCAGGCTGCACAACTGGAATATGTTCTATTCAGGGCTACCTCTGAAGTCCACCCTGAAACACCAGCTGATTCAGTATGCAGAGTCTGGGTAGCTCACAATGAGCACATAACATTGTTAATTCAGATCTCCGAATGAGACCCCTGTTTGCGTCTCGGTGCAATTCAAAGTGTTGGTGATGATCGTTAAAGCTCGGAAAGGTCTGGGAACCAGTTATCTAAGGTGCCTCTTACCTTATACTTTACCATAGCATTTAAGATCAAGTGGGGTGCACTTGTTGTCAGGTCTTTAGTTTAAACACTCTGAGTCAAATCACTCTATTGAGGTCAATGAAGTTACGACAGGGCTGAATTTGCCCTCCATGTCTGTTGCCGAGTTTTTCTCTGGAGAGGCCCTGCTTTTGGAATTTGCTCCCCTTGCAGGTCCATTAGAGCCCAAGACTAGTAACTTTAGAGCATGGCACAATATACACTTATTTAGGTTAGGTGTTAAGTAACAGTTTGGCGTTGTCCTTGGATGTTATGTTTTAATCTCCATATTTAAAGCTACCAAGGCAAGAGGCCCTGTAACTAATTTTGTGATAATAAACTATGTAAGTTAAATTTGACCGGATTCACAAGGTCTCACAAATCCCCCCAATTACATATACCAGAAACTTGAAAGAGCTGCTGATGCCTTCTGGAAAATAGAGAGGAACATTTACCTCAGAAACAGTTCTCTCTTAGTTTCTCTTTCCTTTCATGCCTTTCTCCTAAAGACATTTTTGTAAAAAAACACCAAGATCTTTCCAACATAGGCATCTCTCTTGCTCCTTATTCCCACATGTGAACATTGTGAATCTTTTTTTTTGTGATGGCATCATCATCTCTTAGACAACTGATTGTGATGCTACAAACAGGATTATGACATGAGACAGGGACAGGAACATCAGAGGCTGCTGAGCTCCTAAAAGACAAAGGTCCCAGAGGACATACAGAAAAGCTGGTGTTCAGGGAGAATTGTTTCTGAATAAAATGTTTTCTATGAGGCATTGATATCTCTGTAGCTTTGGCTTATGGGGCCTGGTGATTGAAGTGTTAGGAAAAACAACAGTAAGAGTGTGTATTCTGCATCCCTCGCTGTTTCTGATTGGCTTGGCATTGGGCACCAGAAAAAGAGCTATCATTAGGGGGAAAGGGACTACTGAGATATTCAGGCTTGAGTATTAACCATAAACTGGGATATCCTGAATTGAACTTGTTCCCTGTACTTTGGAGATGGGCTCCAAGTGTGCAGAACTAGTCTCTGAGGGCTGCTTCCTCAGGCAGCATTTGTCATGAGCAGATGTAATTGTGTCATAATGTAGCATCTAGTAACGTTCACTCTGGGGTCAGAGGTTTGAACGTGATTGGTGGTTGGCTTTCTGCTAGGTCCATTGGCTTTCACTTACCCAGTATCTTTAGCAGTATAGTGCCTAGATATAGTGAGCTAGATTCTTGGCTGTTGTAAATTGACATAACTTCACTGAATTCAATGGAGCTGCATGAATGTATATCAGCTGAGAATCTGGCCCAGCATGACTGGCACCCTGTAAATACCTTAGTTGGAACAGCAGAGCATCCTTACCCCCATTCCCAACCCAAGTTCACTTTCCTGACAGTCTTTTACCCTAAGCCAGTGGCTCCCAAACTTGTTCCGCCGCTTGTGCAGGGAAAGCCCCTGGTGGGCCGGGCCGGTTTGTTTACCTGCCGCGTCCGCAGGTTCGGCC